TTGATTATCTTCAAGTTTCCTCTTGTTCAGTTCAGTTCGGTTCAGTTCAGCTGGGGACTGGAACGATAGGAGAATCACGTGAGTGTTCCATCTTGAGTGGATCGTCGAGGCAGGAGTTGATGAAGTGCTCAGTTATTGATGGATCTAAAACGGAAACACCCGCATCGCACCCTGGCCAACCAGTCAATGCTCACGTTTCCTGCCCTAGCAGTCCCTGCTGTGGCAGTCACGTGAAGTAAGCAAAGGATAGGAAGCGAAATCGAAGGTACAGAATAAGGAAGTGCACTTAAATAAGAAAATAATACCAATACGTGAAGAAAAGTAGAGCAAAGAAAATCCTTATGCTCTCACTGGTATACTATTGCGACCGTACGTGTCATAACGACACCCAATGCACGGCAGTTTTGGCCCCCTGTGACCATTTTCCTAGATTCTGAAAGCATTTGGACTGTAGAATCATGAACGCTTTAGTGTAATTACTCTTATGAACTACTGCTCGTATTGCCGTCAGCATTCATCCGCTCCTAGCCGATTCCTTGAAATTCCTTTTCGTCTTGGAATGTTGCTCTACCTGTCTTGCTCCCGCATTCGGTCTCAACCTAGTTGTCCTCATTTTCACCTAAGATGCCTCTCGCATTCTGGCTTCTGCCATCATCATCGCATCATTCGCTTAACTTTTGTTAAAACGCTTTGTTATATGGGTCTTTTGACCCTGCGCGTGCAGAACCTTCTTCCCACGCAGTAGCTATATTCTGAGTCACACCAGCGACGTAATGTATAGAACGCGGTTGCGAATTATGTATACTAAACAAAAGTACATAAGTTTGAAGGTATCATAGGCACCGGTGAGCGCCACCAGTCTGTGTTATTGCTTCTTGATTCATTGATGTCTCTGTTTGGCCACCTCTTGTCCCTTGCCCGTTTTTCCCGAGATTCCCACAGGTACATCCGCCAAAACAAGAAGGTTTATCCACTGGGGCTGGCCGACCCATCCTCAAAACACTTGGTCCTTTCTCCAGGAAATGGAAAACCCACACACTGGTCCAAATGGAGCTCATTCCGCCATTCCGGAGGCGCTACCTTCATGGGGTCTAAACAAATGGGTTTAGCTTGCCTCGCACTCAGAGAACAATTTACTCACCTGGAAGAATATATGTACATGGATCCCCCATTCCACAATCGAAGACAAACAACTCTGGCGTGATTACCTTCACTGCCTCAAACATTCCTATTCGCCAGTCACCTGGAGCTATTCTGATGTCATTTTACGGACAGCGTTGCGCACGTATACGTGGTTATTCCGATGGTCTTCCATGGAATTTTCACTTAGCTACGGAAACAGTTACACTTACTTACATTTGCAGGAATCCCAAATCCAAGTTGCGGAGAATGGCGTTTTCACATATTAAGGACATATTCAGCCACAAGAAACAACTTCACTCACCAACCCCATGACAAGTCCAGCGAGGATAGTTGGACATGGTTTGCGAGCCGAGCAAGAATATAATAGAAGAGCCGGCCTCTATTAACAATGTGTTTACTCACCTGCAACATTATCAATCGACTCTTCGAATCTTGCATCATTGACCAGCTTCAACGACTGCTGGCGTATCAGAAGTATGCCATTCGGCCAACCAACGAAGAATTTTGGCTGTCAACTGACTGCGAATAATAGAACGCAAAATCGGTCTATACGATGCATAACCGACTTGCACTACTGTTCACCGAAAGCTACGGCAGTGTTCCAGGACGTGGTGGGTTTTCGCCTGGCAAGCGTTCTCCCTATAAAAAGCCACAAATGTCCGCTTAACAACACTGCAACGTGGCGGATGTGACTCGCCACAAAATAAAGTCACAGCTATGCATTTCACACTGACGCAGTCCTCAGCCTTCTACATCGAACCTGTGCAACTAATCCTGCTATGAACAATGCCTTGTTGGAGCACAGATCATCTCTATCTCGGATCACTACCTGGCGTAATTACCCCCAACTTGTGTTTTGACGGATTTTTGCGCGCCACAGCGCCATAATGTCCCTGGGTCTGACTTTTACCTGACAGTATGCTCACTCATACGGACAACATCTTTGCTTTTCTTTTATAACTTTCATAAAAACGAAATGTTTTAACATTCCATAGAAGCTATGCTTGTATGCATATTTGATCACGCCTTTACAGGTGTGTTTCGTTTTACCGAGAATATACTATTTATTTATTTATTTATTTATTTATAAGATGCGAGTTACTCAGGAAAATGGAAAGATTTCGTGTTGCCACCCAAGAGCGTCAAGTTGCCGCTCAAACCCCTTAACCGTATATTCCCTGATAACACTTTCCGGAAGCATGTTCCAGCGGTCGATGACTCTGCGAGACAACCGAATTTCCGCCCTAATCCGATCGGACCGCGGTTTGTTCAGCTTCAACAAATGACCGCGTAGAACACAAAATCTAGCGGGACTGAATAGCCAAGATAATTCTGGTCCAACCTTCCCAGTCAAGATACGGTAGGTTAGGATTAGGTCTCCTCTATGCCTTCGGTAGTGCATTGAATGCATTCCCAAACTAAATAGACGCTCGGGGTACGTCCGTCTCCGTAATCCCTCGACTAACCTAGTACCCACTCGTAAAACCCTCTCCAGCTCCACTTTGTCCCGGACGAGGCAAGGTGGACAAGCCTGGACGCAGTATTCCAGATGAGGGCGAACGAAAGCCGAGAACAGCCTCGTAAAGATGCCGCCCATCAAGACTCCTAAGAACGTCGGATTAACCACAACATGCGCAAACCTCTGCTTGCGGCCTTCTTCCAGTTGTCGCCGGAGTGTAAAGCCGAAGAGTGTACGACGCCTAGGTCAACCTGGCTAGATACACGGGGGAGTTCGACCCCACCGACCAATTACTTCGCAGGAGGACAACCTCCTCCAATTCGAAGAACGGAGCACTTTGCCTGATTTATGGGCAGTAACCATAAACTAGACCAGTCCCAAAGCTTATCCAATGCTAGCTGAATAGCTTCGGAACCCCCAGGAACATCAACAACGTTCCACAGCTTCAGGTCAACAGCAAATAGCAGCGATGGTACCTCAAGCACCGCGGGTAGGTCATTCACATAGATAGAGAACAACAGCGGTCCAAGGACAGAGCCCTGCGGCACGCCGCTGAGGACAGACTGCCTAAATGATAGGCCCCGGCCTACCCGTACACACTGTTCTCTATCCTCTAAGAATGCAGTCACCCAATGTAGGGCGCGGCCAGATACCCCGTTGGAGGACAGCTTTTGCGCGAGCCTCAAATGGGGTACCTTGACAAATGCCTTCGAAAAGTTGACGAAAAGCACGTCCAATGTGTGGCCGTTATCCACTGCATCCGCCCAATTTTCGCGAGCCACCAACAGATTCGTCAGACACGAAAATCCCTTCCGGAATCCGTGTTGTACATTGCTAAGTAGGTTAAATCTACTTAAATGACTCTCCAATAAATCTCTCACCAGTTTCTCGAGGAGCTTGACTACTACACTCGTCAGACTAACTGGCCTGTAATTTGCAGGAAGACCCCTGTCCCCAAGTTTGAAGATGGGACAGATGACAGCTTCCTTCCATTCGGAAGGCAATGCACAGCTGTCAAGCGATTTCTGAAACACAATAGCGAGCGGTCCACTTAGTTCTGCAGCCAACTCATGTAACAGTTTCGGGTGAATTAAATCAGGCCCAGAGGCCTTAGAAGGGTTCAGCCCTTGTAACAGCCTACGAACTTCCGTCTCCGCTACAATAAATGATGCATGCATGCAGCTATATTTGCCTTAGATATGCGCAACAGTAATGCAATATTGGCAACTAAAGTAGAAATCATTCACTACAAGGTATAAAAGACAAGCATACCGTTTCGGAGCCCATTTATTAAAAATTCAAGCCGTCCAATTTTAGTATCGTCCTGGACTATTTAATTAGTCTGCTATTGTGCCGATATTTTTAGCCTCGGAATTTTAATGTGAAACGCATTATTAATATAATGAAATAAGTAACACTTGGGTTTTTGTGAGTTTCATAGCAGTGCATTCATCATAGCGGACATAATTAAGTGGCTTCTTTAACAGCAAAGATTTTGTAAAATCATAGGAAACTTATGCAGCATTATTGTAGCAATGAATTAGCATTTTATCCAAACATATGTACAGCAAGCCCTCCCACTGAAGCGTGTTTTTGGCCATTCGCGTAGAAGCAAAAGGAGATAAAGATAAATGTCTTTATATGTCCATGGATATTGTTAACTAATATTCTAAATAATTATCGGCGCTGTTTAGTGCGTTAACTCCTTCTTTTTAACCGTACTTTCAGTCAGCACAAGTGACTTTTAGCGCGCCATGTGTGACGAATAATTCGTCACTGTGTTAGTACGCACTTACTAGTCTGTACTCGATTAGCGCGTAACGTTGACGGAATATGCATCCCTTCAGCTCGAGCAGAGAAAGCGTGTGCCGTCGTGTGAGTGTTGTAACTCCCTAAATGACCAGACTTTTGGCCCTCAGCAGTGCAAATGTACACCTTATGGACGACCTTTTGGTCACCCAGTATATCTTCCAACGCCGCTTGAACTCCAGCAACGAAAATTTCATGGTAAAAATATCGTAAACACCAAGCGGAATGCCACATTTTAATTATAATTACGCAATGCAGTAGCCGCAAACCCAAACCCTAAATTGATTTTGAATTACCAATTCTCGACCAAACGACCACGAGACTTCGAGCGGTGTGCTATTACAACCCAACTGCGTCCTATTACATCGGCACCAAATGTGCCACTGACGGAGCCTATATACAACGACCACGGGACTTGGAACGGTGTGCTATTACAACCCACTTGTGTCCTATTACGTTGACACCAAATGTGCCACTGATAGAGCCTATATACAACCGACCTGGGTCCTATTACACTGGAAACAAACGTGCCGCTAGTCCAGTTCATTGTTCAAAACGCTGTAATCCCAAATGAGCGGAGAAACCGATATAAAAACTGTGCATTGTATTTAACAAAAGGCAGCGAGAGAAGGTTCAGCGTTGTTCACTATATTCGTGTCTTGGACGCGCATGTCCCATGCAAGGTATCTTTACACAAAGTCGTATTCATCGGCTAAAATATAATAGTAGTGCGAACATATAGTTTACTGTCGGGTAATTGAATGAGAGTTTTTATCTGAACAAGTTTTTTTCTTTGCGTTTTCTTTACTGGGCTGGCATCCATGTCGACGCTACAATGAAGTGAAAATGGGAGTTTAAATTGCACCGAATAGCTTACTTTGGCACTCTATTCTGCACAATACCTCTGTTTGAGGGGAACTCCACGGCTTCTTTTCGACAAGCTATCGATGAAAGGTAAGGAAATAGATCACCAGTACCAAGTGCACATGCAATATGGGGTACGGTTTGTTGACTTGTACTCGGATCGGCGGTAATCTCATCCTGACTGTCTGCGCAGGAAATAGTTATACTAAGCTGTCTCTTACCTTCGTAAGCGGGGCAGGTTGCTGGGGTAGAGGCAACTGTGAAATCCGGTGAGGGTGAACGGCCAACAGCCAAATATCGAGATAAAAAGTTGCTTTCCTACCGGTAGTACAGCATTGCACTGCCATCATGGGCACAGATACCGTTTGTGAAGCATTGACACAAATTGTACAACGGGCTCCTGATTGCACACGCAAACACTTTCGATGGTAAAGTAACCGATTGTGCGCACAGCGAACTGCGTCAATCACAACAGGCTTGCTGCATGTGAAACACAAATCTGTGGGCGCCATAATTTTCGGCCAACGCGGTTGTTTCTTTGCAAGTTGAAAGTCTGACGAATCACCAATTACTTCGTTAGTCCTTCGCAATAGCTCTTGATACGGTACCGAAAATCCGGATGGATTAACCTCTTCAGCACTTCTCAGACGATGTACAAGATGTGCAATTTTGGACGTAGATGGTTTCGTAACGGGGTCTTTCAACGTCCGCAACGGCATGGACTCTGTGGGTAGGTTGTATTCCGCCAGCCAGCGGATGCAAATAGGTATTTGGCCTGCAAATGGATGCACATATCAGAAACGGCTTACTTGTCGGATACGCGTGCTGCCTGTATGGCGCCATTAAATGCACACACGGAAGCCACATGGTTTCATAAAAAGGACAGGTACATGTTCCCAAGGAGCAATCGATGGTGAAGCTGTTTCCCTGGTGCGATATCTCAAACTGGAAGCGTCAGAAATCTTTATTCACATACCACTCCATCTCCAAGGTCCGAGTAAACTGGGTTGTGCTAAATGGCGCATCACTAAGTTGCATGCGTACGTAGTTAAGAGGCAAGCTACGCGATGAACATATGCGCTGCCTTCTAGTAGCTGACGCCTGTCACAGAAATACGCGGCATGCATCTGGGACTCTTTCAGGAGAACATCCGAATGCGCCCAGACTTTGCGAACGGCTGCAACAAGGCCATCCGATGCATGGGAAACTTTCTTCAATCGCAAGTTGGCATTCTCAACTCGGTTGTTCGTTGTATTGCCAAAATGCACCGGTCCAGCTTGTGCGTGTTTCGCCCACGAGCTTTTTATGTACATCCAGTACAACGTAAGGTAGCGCACAAAGTGGGGGTCTGTTCTTTGAAGGAGCTTCAAATCTTGTTGAAATCTAAAACATGAATATTACATATATAAAGAGATTTTACTCCGTCTCCGTGTCAGAAGTTGCCATGCGATGAAACAGATAACGCGACCGGTTAATGTTTGTCTACAGAATGAAACGAAGATTTATCACTTACATGCTTCCTGATGGCCTGGCGGATGTGGAAGTAACACAACGAAATGTCGCATGGAAAAACGGCGTGCGCCGCACGTATTTGAGCGGCCGTTTTGTCCATCATTATTGTGCGGACGGGAATATCATGACCCATGTTATCCCGAAACGCTTCGAACAACGTAAGCAATGATGCGTAATCTTCCCGACGCAGAAACGCATAAAATATTGGCCAGCCATACCCCATGCCGTCAGTTATTAAAAACTGGTATAGTTTGAAGGTGCAAGCAACAAGTAAGCCCGATATCAATTCTTACTTCAAACGGTTAGTGCCATGAATAGCGTCTACACAAACAACATGCGAGAATCGGCGAAAAAGTTCTATTTGTTGATGCCGAGCGAATAATACGTGTGTGCACAAGCCTTCCTCAGAAATAATTCGCGCAACTCCGTCTTCTTCCATAGACTTGATAACCTGATGCAATTTTACTGCAGGAAATAAAAACTATCAAAATAAGCTTACACTCCACGCCAGGTCTCAGTTTACGACGAACATTGCGGACATCATCGCTGGTAATATGCTTTCCGAATCGAGCCTCGACGAACTGCTTGATGTCGCTTGTTAGAGTGTTGTAGCGGAAAAGGTCTACGGACCGAGTGAACTCGTCGTCCGTCAGACGGCGATTGATGGGGTGTCGCTCAAAAAGAAGGCGATTAACTGGGTGATTGTGAGACCGATCGAACGTTGTGACTTTCAGCTCGCGTCCCGTTCTAATGAGGTTAACGCGAGCTTGGCAGTTAGTATCACGTGAGCTGAAAGATGTAGAATAATAGAAGCGAAATCCTACTAAACACGTCTCACTCCTGTACTTTTTGACTTCCGCCGAGCGCAGCGGACACATCGATAAATCACCTTGTCGTACTTCACTCGTGACAGGTTACATTTTTTGCTGCTGTAGCGTACGAAATTGACGTAATGAAGAAACATAAAGTCTGAAAACATACTTTTAAACTCGTCAAAACTGTCAAAAGAACGCCCAAAGAAGATTCTCCGGAAATCAGACTCCATGGCGTACGATTTCGAAAATACTGTTTCTACCGCGCATCTGGTTTCCGACACATTTAAACAATTGCAATAACACATTTGCAGAGATTTAAATAAAACTGCAAAGGCAGAAAGGTGGCCGGGAATAATGCCATAAAATGACCATAAACTATTTATTGCGCACTAGGTTTTGCGGGGTAATGGTGCGGATCTGACTTTTGACACATTTAAACAAATGCAATATCACATTTGAACAGAATTGAACAAAACTGCAAAGCCACAAAGATAGCCGGGAATCATGCCATAAAATGACAGGAAACTATTTATTGCGCACTAGGTTTTGCGGAGTGACGGTGCTGCGACTACGTCGCAGCGCTCTCTGCTTTGCAAGCAGGTAGCAGAAAAAAGAAAAGAAAATATAAAAAGTAGGGAAGCGGCGTACGTTCTAGATAGTCATAGCTATCCAGCAATGCTCTAATTAGCCCGTAATACCCTGCGACAACTACGGACTGCGTAAGTGGCCGAAAAGTAAACTTTCATATGACACTCATTAACTGTTATTCACACATTAAGTTGGCGGCCTAACTTCATCTTGCTGGCTTATCCGGAATCGTCTGAACGGTTTCCTGCTTTCTGACCCACCTCGGACTTCGGAGGTCTAAGTGACTTAGGCTCTGCCGACTTAACGTTCTGTAACCCTCAACTGAAATACATTGATGGCCAAGATTCATCCATATTACTACGTCCCCTTTCTTCCCGTACCTGCCTACTGTGCCGATGCTCTCCTTTGGTAATAAGACCTACATTTTACGGATTTCACTCCTTGTGATGATATTCTAATCTCGTCTCAGTTGTCTCTTTGCTTCGGACTAGTGTGACCCTACTGATCAGAAATGGGCAGATTTAGCGGTCTGCTCACATCATTCCAAAATATGGCTGGATTTTTACTTCTCCTCAATGGAGCGTTTTCTTTTTCGCGCTCTGCTTGCATTACTTTTTCAATTGGACGGATATCTCTTCGGGTCTGATTTAATCTACCCTCGGCTGTCCAGTCCCCTGTTTCTGACTGCTTCCCCACATCCGAGACGTTACTACTTTAGGATCTACCTTCCAAACACTCTGTTCCCCTCATCCCGAGACTTTTCCTTGACATGCTAACTGGCTTTCCATGCAGCCGTTGCTGTCCCGAAAGGTACTTTTTAAACTCATTACTGTTATTCACACCTTAAGTTGGCGGCCTAGCTTCACCTTGCTGACTTACCAGGTTTTGTCTGAACGGTCTCTTATTTGCTGCCCTCTCTCGGGATTCTGAGATACATCTGATCCAGTTACAGCTGACGCAACGCTCTGTTACCCCCACCTTAATTACATCACTAGTCCTTGTTCATCCTTCTTGTTATTAACAAGGTTGCATCATCACCTGAAGGTCGGCGGCCTTTTCACTTCTCCTCAATAAAATTGTTTTACCGACCCTTTCCTTCCTATGCTTTCTTTTGCTTTGCTTCTTCATTCAACTCTAACTTACATGCGTCTGTCATCTCTGACTTCTTACATTCCTTCAAATTTAAGACTGAGGCAACGCGTCTCTGTCGCTCTTTCTGAGTGATATTCTTTCCCATTAGCTGCGCACCTCGTCCTCCTCTCTCTGGTTTAAACCGATTGAGCATACGCGCATTAGGACCCATCAAACTCTCTTTTCTTCATCTTTGTTCCCATTTTGGAACAATCTTTCATTCACTACTGATCGGTGTTCTGCTTGCTTCTCGTCGTATTTCGCCACTTATAATGCACAACTACATGCGATAGTTAAATATCAATTACACGTATACGGATACAGTATTTCAGTCATCGCCGCAATTGATCGCCCGCATTCCAGACGCAGCACATTCCTATGTCTTTGTGGCTGTTTCTGTTCGTTTCCTTCTTTTCCAGAGTTTGTCACAGGTACGGCGACACGCACCCAAGGAATTGTCCATCGTTGCGACAACCATACAAGCCACACAGTTCCTTTAGCTGGACATGAGCAGAAGAATGTAAACCCTTTTAGAACTTACTAACCGGACAAATCATTCGTAATTATGCAGGGATACAAACTTTCCGAGGCTTGAACCTTAGGGTTCAGTTTGCCTAACGCTATCTCTTCCACATTACTCTTGCCAGGAGGACAACTTTTGATTTAAATAAATAAATAAATAGTTTATTCTCAGTTTCATAGAGAAACACCAACTCAGGCATGATCAAGGTTTAAAAACAGATGTGTATCACGACGATACATCGGGTTCAATAGTGTGCAGTTGAAACGGTGTCGGGAAGAGTTGATATGTGAGTCTAGTCGACTTGCGATACAAAGCCAGAACAATTGGTCATTATGAGCTCTGCAATCCGCGTTGACCGCTCAATTGGCCGTGGTTTCCTATATTTTCAATCAATTATACTACATACATCGGGAATCTGTGATTTTTCTTCGGAACCATATTCTAACCTTCAAGACTTCAACAACAATTCAACTTATTTCAAGGTATATCCCTCGGAGACTTCACGTGGTTCTGCAGAGGATCAACACGTCATATTCAAAAAGCATGTTTAGTTCCCGGCCCATCAATCGGGCACATGACAGGACTCAGGAACGCAATAGGCACCCGGCTAACGCATAGCCGGCAGAAAAATGGGACGCAAGCTGACTGCGAATAACCGAGCAAAAAAACGTTCAACCAAAAACATAGCCAGTTACAACTTGCCATTCAATGGATTGGCGGCAGTGTTTCAGGACGTGGCGGGTTTTCGTCTAGCAGGCGTTCTCCCCATAAAAAGCCACAAATGTCCGTTTAACAACCCTGCAACATGGCGAATGTGACTCGCCGCCGTATAAATTCAAGCCCATAACTTCACACTGGCAGGTCAACTAGCGTCGCCATTCGAGATAGGTTCGTTACACTAGAACTTCTATATCTGCATATACTGTGGTCTTTTTGCTTTCTGCGATATCACCGTTGACCTTTGCGTTACTTGTGCACGAACTCACTGTATTAGCATATCTCTCTTTAGCGTTCTGTTCAATTATCGTCCAATGGATCATTCAGGATACTCAATCTATTATTAACCGAGGTCCCGGTTTCACGACAGCCAAATTATTCGTAGAAAATAGAAGTCACGATTAAAATTCACGCACAATAATGTGCCTCGACGGACCCCGCCCAATGAATTTCCGGTCCGCTGCTCTACCACTGAGCTACCGAGGGCTGACGATTAGGTGCGCAAATTTTAATAACTGACTTCTGTTTGGTGCGCGACGTATTGCCAATAAGCTCACAGTACCTCTCCTGGTGTTGCAGATTGGCTCACTCACCCGTCACTTCCCAATGAACCGAAGTACCTGTCCTTCAGATGTCCAATGGGCGATGGTAGATTAATG